CTTTTTTTTTTTTTTTTTTTTTTTTTTTTTAGTACCAGGGATTGAAGTTGGGACCTTGCGCTTGCAAAGCAGACAGTGGAACCACTAAGCTAAATCTCCGGCCCTAAAACAGCACTTTTATCTGTCCTGGGTAGAATTCTCACTTGCCTTCTGTCTTAGTCACTTTCTTTTTTCCATCTCTGGGACAGAATATCCAAGACACACAATTTAAAGGAAGAGAAGTTTATTTTGGCTCCCAATTTTTAGAGGACTCAGCCTATAGGTGGTTGGTTCCAAGGCAAGAAGGCCGTGGTGGAAGGGTCTGGCAGAGGAAAGCTGTTTACTTCCTGGTGGCCAGGGAGGAGACAGAGAAGGGAGGAACCGGAGAGGAGGTAAACCCTCCCAGGCCGTCTCCTCAGTAACCTGCCTCAGCAACTCCTATCAGGTCCCACCTCCTGTCAGCAACTTACCTACAAACTCATCCATTGTTTAATCCGCTGATGAGTACAGCACTCCTATGATTCAATCTACTTTTGGGGAGACACCTCAAACCTAAACCTTAAGGCTCTACCCCCCAGGCCCCAAAAGACTCACGTCCATCTCTTTACGCAAAATGCATTCAGTCCATCTCTAAGAGCTGCCAACGTTTTAACAGTTCCCAAATTGCTGAAAAGTCCAAGTCCAAAGTCTCCTCTGAGAACCCAAGGCAAACTCTTAGCTGTGAGCCTCTGTCAAAATCAAAAAGGAAGTTAAATGCTGCCATCATACAACGGGATAGGGTAAACGTTCCCATTCTCCAAGGAGAGAGAGGATAAAAAGGAATGAGCTCAAAAATCAAGACCGAAACCCAGCAGGGAAAATATTAAACCCTGTAATTCCAGGTCAAGCCCCAGGGAAAAGGAGTGGTGAGAAGGGAGAGCTACACCACTACATTCTACAAGAACCTCAGGCAGGATGAATAAAGAAAAAAAAATGTGGTATCTATACACACAGAGGCTAAGTTTGGGTTATCTGTAGGAAAACGGATGTACCTTGTCCTTAATACTAAGCGAAACACAGCAGGCCGGAAAGGTAAATATGGCATGGTTTCTGTTAGAGGAGAGGCTCGATGCATAAGCAATGTGAGAGGCGAAGAGAAATAGGAGATAGAGGGTAGGAAACGGGGAGGGAAAGGGGAAATCAAGCAGGACGGAGAGGCGATACGTGTCCGTGCCAACTCTCCATGATGAATGTGCGCATTATGGGTCCCAAAAATGTAGTAGTAAAGAAAAATGGAGCAAACCCTTCCCCTTGCCTCGGTCTCCCTGAATACCACCCTAATTTACTGCGATGCGCATGTTCCCGTTGCAATGCACTGCTCTTCCCAAATAAACAATCTTGAGAGACTGATTGTTATTTAGGCCACTGAGGCCAATGTGAGCCCCACTCCAGGGTCCTGCAAGTAAGTCAGTGCCTTCTCAAATGTCTCTGTGGGTACGGGAGATGGAATCCAGAGTTTTTCCATGGAGCTACGTCTCCAACACTTTTTAAAAATGTATTTTTACCTCGAGACAGGGTCTCGCTGAATTGTTAAATTGTCCAGGCTGGGCTCACACTTGCCATCCTGCTCCAGCCTCCCATACTGCAGGGATT